CATTCATTAGTTTAGAATAAAAACTCCAATCGAATTTGCATTTGTCTAGATAATATACTACTTCTATGAAGAGGAAGTTTGATAAATATTGGGCTCTTTCGAAGATATGAACATGTTAATGTTTGTAGCCCAAACCCTCGATCCACGATATAAGTTTCAATTGATGGAGTTGCAATTAGGGGAGCTTGGCTACACTCTTGATGAAGTTGAGCACCTCAAGAGTCGGGTGAAAACACATTTGTACCTTATGTATGAAACTGATAAGGGAACGAAAAAGTCACATGTGAATGTGCATGAGGATGGGGATGATGGTGTTGATCTTGGTGATGATGATGATATTGATGATGATGATGTGGAATTGAGGATAGAGCGGAGACTTAATAGGCAAAGAAAGGAAGCAAAACTCAAAGAGATAGTTAATGAAGTTGACAAGTACTTTAATGATGCTTATGAAAGTACAAAGAATGATGATTTCGACTTATTGGGGTGGTGAAAAAGTAAAATCTCAAGCTACTCTATTCTTTCCAAGGTTGCTAAGGATGTACTTGTTTTTGCTAGTTTTGACCGTTGCTAGTGAAAATGCCTTTAGTCTTGGAGGAAGGATTGTGGATCCGTTTAGAGCTTCTTTGACATCTAGGATGGTCGAGGCCTTAGTTTGCACAAATGATTGGCTTAGAGGAGAGGAATTTCAATTTCACAAGGAGCCTACGGAAGAAGAGCTTGAGTTCTACATGGAACTCGAACAATTGGAACAAAGTAAGTAACTATTTTATTAATATTCAATATTTTGCTATTCATATTGTGCATGAAATATTTTTTGTTTATTGACTTATTTGTAATATTTTGTAGGTATTCCCAATACAAATGAAATGCCACCACCTCCATCTAAAACTAAAAGTGCAAATCCACCCGAGTCCGGAGTTAATAAATTATCATCCCATCCATCTCGAGGGGGGAAAGGGGGAAGGGGTCGATCAAATCGTGGTGGACGTGGAGGTGGTGCTACATCATCGAGCAAATTACTTGATGAGGTTCTTGTAATTTAATTTTATTATAATTGGTGTTCTTTCTTTTAAAATATAATAATAATATTTTTTTTGTCATCTTAATGCATAATCTTTTTCTTATACAGGAGTAGATGAGACGAGTAGTGGACGAATGCTTTGAGTTGTGATTTATAAAAATATGGTGTGATGTGTACTGTGTTGTGCTGCGAATTGTAATTGGATATTTGGATTTGGAAGTTGGAACTTGGTAGTTTGGAACTATTGATAAGCTTGTTGTGTTATGATTTGTCTATTTTGTGTTGTTATTCTCATGCCTCTGTTTGAAAGAAAAAAAAAAACCTCTTATTTATGCCTTTGTTTGTGACTTTGTGCCTCTGTTTCCTCGCACTTTTGGGAGAGGGAAGGTCAAGGTGTGCCTCTGTTCATGCCTTTTTTTTTCATGCCTTTTTGGGAGAGGGAAGGTGTGCCTCTGTTGTGTTAACTGTTTTTTTTCCCTTGTTTCATTTCGGTTTTTTTCGGTTTTGGTCGGTATAAACCGAAACCGAACCGATTTTAGGTAACCGACAAATCGGTTACCGAACTCTTATCGGTTCGGTTTCGGTTTGCATATTAGTCAAACCGAATTTGGTCGGTTCGGTATCGGTATTAGGTTATCGGTTCGGTATCGGTATTAGGTTATCGGTTCGGTTACCGAACCGATACCAGCCCTACTCAGGAGCACAGAAAAACAGTTTGTAGTGGGTAGGGGTGTATATGTAATAAAATGCTTCCACACTCTCATCGCACCCTCGCTCTCTAAAAACAAACGGGAAAAAGTATCTGCTTGAGAATCACCGGGCTCGGCACAACAATACCACCGCGAGGGGAAAGTAAACCCCCTCGCCTATAACACACATTCAATCAGAATCTGGCGCAGAAGAAGGCGCCAACAGAAGACAAAGATGGTTGTGGTAAGTAGGTCGGTCCAAATGGCCCCAAAGAGAAGGTTAGGCCAGTCACTCTGTCGTACTTTCCCCCAAGCTGAGGTCGTAGAAAATGTACTCGAAGATGTAAGTCTCTACCTCATACCTTTTCGAGATGAGAATTTGTTGGATATGATATAAACATCGTCACTATAACCTGCTCCACTACCCAACACCCTCTCTAACCTGTCCCTATCCCATCAGTCCACAAGCCCTTCACCCGCAAGGAAGGGGAGTGAGTGACCAGCCTATAGCTTGAAAAAGGCCCCTCGAAAATTGAACTAGACCGACCGGTTCAATTGGGAACTGGCCAATACACCGGTCCAATTTGAGGTATGTAACCGTTGGGTCCAAAACCGTCTTCAAACCGTTAGAACAGAGTAAAAACCGTTAAAACCGAAGAAATGATTACAGTCTAGCGCACCCAACGCTTCAGTTCTTGATTTTATATAATAGTGGTTGTTAAAGAACTTAAATGGCTGAATGTTTTTCTTAGTTTTTCCCATGTGGGACAAGTTCTCAAATAAAGACTAGCTGAAATTTGGGACATTATTGAGCCTTCATGCAAGAATAAATAAAGGAAATAACTTGTTAGAAAGCCTGAAACAAACGTTCTAAGCCACTTGATGGTGTTGGCCATCAACCTCGGCTGTTATTGGGATTTTAGTTTTACCATCAAAATTTTTTTGTCTAAAAATGGGGCAAAATAAAATAATGTATATTTGTTATGACTTATAATTCTACACTTAGAATTAGTCGTGGTAGCTAAAATATTTAGAACATTCATGATTCTTTATTTATTTTTTGATTTATTCATTTAGACAAATGTCATTATACATTATATAATTAAAGGTAAAATTTATACATAATAAATAAATAAATATTATATATTAATTAAACCAATTCGAGCATTGGTCCGACTAGTGAACCAATGAGCAAGTACTACTTGTCCCATCAAACCACAACTCGTCCCAAAAGCTAACATCACCCTCACCTAGCGTTCAAAAGATGTGGTCCTGGGCACACCTATCTTCCCTGGTGAGCCGCCTCCACTGTTTACTATCATGAGCGGTGGCCGTCACCAAACCAGGATGACAGACACCTCTAGAGTAGTACTTCCCGCGAAGGTATTGAGTCCAAAGCGACTCTCCCTCCCTGGAGCGCCACCACATCTTATAAGAGAAGGTGGTGATTGCGTCTGATAAGTGGCAGATCCCAAGGCACCCTTGGAAAAAGGCCGACAGACAGAATCCCACTTCATCCAGTGGACCTGTCTCCCCTTCCAAAAGCCTTTCCTATGCCCCATAAATAACGAGCCATGATATGATCTAACTCGTGGAAAGCAGATTGAGAGGGATTAAGGACCATAAGAAAATGAAGAGAAAGGGCGCTGAGGGTGCTCTTGATCAGCGCGAGCCGACCCCCAAAGGAAGATGTCTATTCGACCAGCCAGAGATTTGGTCAATCATCCTCTGCCTGACGTCTGCAAATAGCGCGCTCGTGAGATGACCCTTATACAGAGGGGCGCCGAGATAGGTGATGGGGGAGGTCGCCGCATGCGAGACCAGTGTTCTCGTGGACCCACTGCGCCCACTTATCCGCAATAGGATGGGAGAAGATAAAGATGTTTTTTTTGCACACGGACGAGCTGACTGATGACCGAGCCATATTGCTCTAAAAGATCCATATGCTCGACCAATCCATCATTATCAGAACTAGTGAAGATAATGATGTCATATGCATAAGAGAAGTGCGAAATGAGAGGACTATAACCAGTTGTGCTTTAGGTCATCCTTGGATTATTACAAAGGAAGGCGTCAAGTGAGCGAGATAATGATGTGATTAGGTTCAATAAATTGGCCTAACTCAAGCCCAATAATCGACCCCTAACTTTTTTTTTTTCTTTTTTTTTTCTTTTTTTTTTCTTTTTACCTAGCAAAAATTGACCATTCGATATACAAATACTGCAGATAATTTGTTTCTTTTTCATACTTTCCTTTTTCTTCCTTGCCGTTTGCCGTCGATAGCCGGACGGTCGTCCTCTCACAGGTAAGACTTTCTGATTTATATGTTAAATTGTTCGTCAGATTCAGAAAACCTGGTCAACTTTAGGAACCGATGCCGTAAGGACTGTAACGGGGTTACGAACGGCCATATGCCGGCGATCTCGTACCCGACCTTCGGGCAACCGGAAATATATAAAATTTATATCTATCAAAAGGCCTCTTCTCAAGCAAACTGTTGATGATTTTGTGTTTTCGTTTCGGGGTGTTTGTGTGCTGTATTTGTCGTCTGTGCGTGTTGTGTTGTTTCTGAGGTGTGGAGGTTGTATGTGCGTGTTTCGAGAGCAAGATTTGTTTTTCCTCTGTGTGTTTTTTGCTCTTTTTGTGTTGAATTCGAGTCCCGAGTAAACTACGGTGAAGTGGTGACTAACTGAAATTGTAGAAGTGGTGTGAGAGTGTGTAGTTTGGGGCTAAAGTGTTAAGAGTCTGAAAGCCCTTTAGCGTCCTTTTTGCGAATGTGATATTTTTTCGGGCTTCATTATACTTTCTCTAAATTGCTGTCAATAAGTTCCACTGCATGCTGTTCGTCTCGTCTTAGTTTTTACCCGTGCCATGATACTGTTTATTCTTGGTGTCTTCATGGAACTTGTAGTTTGGTCTGGCGTGTTTCTGTTGGCTAAAAAATTACCCAATTACCTATTTTATCGATAAGTTGTGTTCAAAATACGAAGACTACCGCCAACTTCCGTCTAGTTTGGCAGCAGCATAACATCTGATCTTTATTTTGGATTTAGTGTCATCATGAAAGTCGTAGGTATGTTTCTTGCTGCTTTGTAGGGACGAGAATTGGTTCATTACCTATGTTTCTATCAAAATTTTTGCTAAAAGTACAAACACCGTGTGTAGCTCTATCTGTCAATTTGGTAGTGTACTGCTGCTGAGTTTTGAGTCACTTTCATCCTCCTAACCTTACCGTAAGTTTTCGAATGTTTATAAGCGCTGTAGCTTTATACCTTGTTTTCTCACAATTTCAAGAATCTATCCAGTATCCATTTTCTAGTAGAATTTATGTTCATAATACATTGGCTGCACATAAGTAGTCTGTCTTCAGAAGCAGTATTTTTTCTGTTTGTAGGTCGTTTTCACCCTTTGGAACTCTTGTCTTTCCTTGAATTCTGAATAAGAGTTTTAGATGTGCGCCTTGAGATCGTATTGGAGCTGAAATCACATCAATATTTTTTTTTTTTCTATTTGAAGTTATTTTTAAAATACAAACATTTCGCATGGTTGTATACGAACAGATTTTCAGCAACATGTTCGATTTTGTCTCGTTTCACCATTTTTAACTTGCTCGTCCGTGTTCGGCGTCTTCATAATAGTTTTTAGTTCAGTGCCTTATCTTTTCGTTCCTTCAGGAATTAGCTCGACGACTATTTTATGAGAAACATTGCATTGTGACGAAACAGAAATCCTGCACGAAGTTGACGTGTGGCTTGTCCTACTTCCTCCTTGGGGAGTGTAGCGTTGCCCCTTGTTTATGACATTTGGATCAACAAAATGAGTTCACATTGAGCAGAACCCGAGTTTGATCCTAATAGTAAGGTTTTGCACGCCACATTATATTTTCAGGTAAACATTATGAAACTTGTACCGTGTAATGCCCTGTGTATCGTAACTTTATAAAACTTGTACCGTGTAAATGCCCCTCGTGCCATACCTCAGATTTGGTGATTCCAATAAACGCTATCTTGGAGTTCCCCGAACCAATTTAAAATTATTATGTTTGATATTAACTATTTGGAATTGTTGTTGTTTAGAAAGCTTCTGTTGTAGTGCCGTCTCTCATTTAACATAGTTTGATATAGTTGACTTGTATATAATATTCCTATATTCGTTTGACGGTGTGAGCTGTTGGATGATTATATTGCTGGTCTTTTGATATCTTTGTGATGTAATTTTTGAAAATTTTCCTGGCTGCTGTATTAGAATAATTATTAACAGTGTCTTTTCTCTGAATAAATATCAACCCTTACTGCACAATGCTTAAATATTTGCTTGATTGATGTGGTATACTGAATCAAAATGCAATTGAACAATAAATTCTGAAGTTTTTTTTTTTTATTTATTTTATTTTATTTTATTTTATTTTTATTTTATTTTTATTTTTTGCAGAACGGGCTATTCATTTTATGTTAATTTTTCTTTTCAGGTGTTTCAACAGGCTCACTTGACCTTAAGATGTCTCAGCTTCCAGTTTTGAGGTCAAGTTTCCATGGAATAAAGGTTCATTTGTAGATGAGTTGCCCTTTCTTTAAGCATTTTAACTTTCGTTTTAAGCATTTTGATTTTTGTATTTGGTCTTTAAGAGGTGACCTGGTGCTTATAAAACATCTCTTCAAAAATTCAGTTTCCTTTTTGTAATTAATGTTTTGTAGGAACCTAATTTGGTAGCATCTTCATCAAGAGTGTGAATATAAGTTTAAATTTAAATGAATTGAATATTGTACGATTTTGTAAAAGATAAGAGGAAATCATCCAAAAACCTTTCTGGTTTCCCTACTCTTTTGTGTTTGTGATAGTGATTGGGAAGATAATATCCATTCCTCTTTGAAATGGTTGCTTCCGAAAATCTTGTTGCACTCGGACTTTGAACGTTTGATAAACTGAAGTACTTTTACAATAGCTGCAATGAGATGAATTACTAAGATGAAAATGAAAAAAAAAGGGGGTAGATAACTGTTATTGAAGTCTTTAATGAAGAGGTAATTTCATTCGGTTTGACCCTAGATCCTCTTATAAAAACTTTTGGACCATTCATATGAAGTTCGTGATCAAATATGTAAAAATTGTTAATTTTTTATGTATTTAGCCTATAAGCTAATCTGAATTTCTGATTTACTTGCGCTTGGAAAACTAAACTATAGATGCTCTGGTCAATAGTCTGAAGATTAATTGCAATTTGCAGGTCGGCTGTGTGCAGATCAATCCTATTCACAGAACAAGACCTCAGACCTTGTCTTGTGCATATAAAAGGCCTCACAACGGTCGTAACACGAAGAAACAAGAACCGTTACCTCAGAATGTGGATCTCCCACAGATACTTCCTAGGAAGAAGAAGAAGCCATTTGCCATTCCAATCAAGCAGATTCAGCAAGCTGGAAGAGCTGATAAGAAGCTTGCACAGATGGGAATCGAAAAGCCTCTAGAGCCCCCCCAAAATGGACTTCTGCTACCCAAATTGATTCCGGTAGCTTATCAAGTTATTGATGCTTGGAAAGTTTTGATCAGAGGAGTTGCACAGCTCATGCATGTTATTCCTGTCCATGCTTGTAGGTAACAACCTGTAAGGCCAAGCAGTTTATAGAAAGAAACCATAATCTATATTTATAGGTAGATTTAAATTGAAAGAAACAAAAAACACCGTTGCAGCTTGCTAATACAATTCCATATTGTAAATTAAATAAAAAAAATATGTTACTTTTTGCAAAGCACGCCAATCAAGTGGTAACCGTATTTAGCATTTTTCTCGACAGTGAATGCTCGGAAATTCACATCGCTGGGGTAGTTCATGACATTCAGGACTGCCGTGGCCAGTCGAGCGGGACCCGTAAGGGCTCGCACTCGTGGATAAAGGCCTCCATCAATGACGTGCTCGTGCCCATTGAGTCGTACCACATGTTCGACCCGTTTGGCCGCCGGATCAAGCACGACACCCGGTTCAACTACGATCGGATACCCGCCGTGGTTGAGCTCTGCATCCAGGCTGGCGCTGAGGTCCCTGGTTACCCGTCACGAAGAAGGATGGAGCCTATCAGGATGCTCGGCAAGAAAATTGTCAACCTGACCTACGAGCCCGAGCCTTGTTGCTCTCCCGGCCCGCTGGCTGCAGAGCTCGACACGTATCGGGCCTCAGAGAGATTTCCTCCCCCGGACGGGCACGAGGTTCCCAGGATCTCACAGGAGACTCTGGACGCGTATATGAAGGTGAAGCGAGGAGTGACGAGGCTGATGAGCAAGTACAGTGTGAAGGCGTGCGGGTACTGCCCGGAGGTGCACGTTGGCCCGTTTGGCCACGACGCGAAGCTTTGCGGGGAGTTTAAGCACCAGTGGAGGGATGGGAAGCACGGGTGGCAGCATGCCACAGTGGACGAGGTGTTCCCGCCGAACTACGTGTGGCACGTCAGTGACCCGGAGGGCCCGGCGCTGACGAACGCGCTCAGGAGATTCTATGGGAAGGCTCCGGCTGTTGTTGAGCTGTGCGTGCAGGCGGGTGCTCGTGTGCCCAATGAGTACAGGCCGATGATGAGGCTCGACATCGTGATGCCGGAGGACGAGGAAGCTCGTTTGGTGGCCTAGTAAAAGGGTTTTTGTATATACATCAAATTGTCTGTGATATAGTTATGTGAAATTTTGACGGATGTGTATTGTAGTTTGTTGTCTATGTATCGAAGATGTGTTTAACTGCACATTTCATAATTTCGCTCACCATTGCTTCATAGTCTGAAATGCTTTGGTTATAAGTTATACCAATAGAATAAAAGCAGCTGCGTATTTGCTTGAAAATTTTGTAAACCAATTTTGTTGCCCAAAAGGCACCAACGAGAACTGATAACAGGAAAAAGCAACTCCATCGACGATTTTGACACTTCATTTTTAAATATCCCCCTCCCTCTAAATACAGAACGCGCTGAGCCTACGTGGCTGTTTCTGGTGCTTCGGAATTCTATGTGGCAAAATTACATGCTTCCTTATTATTTATTAGGTTAGGGTAAATCTTAATTTAAGTCCAAACAAAAAATAATTAGGTTCGGATTACCATAAATATGTTGATTATTTATGATCATGTTACATGTATTAATTGTATTTTAATATCATTCCTTATTATAACTATTGAATTGTATATATATTTTAAAAGTTAATAACTTTCATATTTTTTTATCAGTTTTACATATGTAATATATCAAATCAATCTTTTTTTGATGAGCTTCGATTTAACATCCATATTGTATGTATAAAAAAAATAATTTATATTTATCTTTATAACAATAATAAAATTACTTTTAATATTGATTAAAAAAATAAAATTATTTATCAACTAATATATTTATATTTCAAGTAGTTATATGATATATGTTATAAAAACTAATATAATATAACACATGTAAGTCATAAGTAACACAAATCATTCCAAAATATATAGTAATATATTTTTTTTGCAAAAAAAGTAAACTAAATTTAATATAGTTTTTTAATTAATTTTAAAATTTAAGAATAATTTTTTAACAAGCACCCGTGTAATACACGGGTGTTGTACTAGTAATAATGTTTTTATATTTAAAAATATTATGGCTAGTTAACTAGGTCAATGTATACTATTTAGTTACTTTACATAAATGGATAAATCTTAGAAATGATCATATCAAAATTAAGACACAAATTTATATAAAATCAAAATATTTTAAAATTTAGTAGCATGTGTTACGTATCCATGTTCTTTCCTTTTTAATTCAGTATATTTCGAGATTATTAAATAATTAAGTTAATTTGCGCAACTCACTTTCTCTCTCTAAAAGCTTCATGCAGCAGAAGGAAACGAAAAGAGATCTGACCAGCGCCCCCTTTCTCCGACGTCGTCGGTTCGCGGCTTGGCGACTCTCCAGCCACAAGCTTGACTGTTGGTAGCCGACTGTTCTTTTGCTCAGCTGATGGGTGCGGATGGGTTGAATGTGACGACTCCTTCGGCGTGGCTAGTCGGGTTCGCTCCCCTAGCGTCTTTTTTTTTT